TAGAGTGGTGGGGGGGGGGGGGGGGGGGGGGAGGAAATCAAGTTCCACATATTTAATTTTAGCATTGTTAATCAGGATATTTGAAAGAAAATTAATATTTTCCCACAGATTAAAAGAAAATCCAGTCTTTTTGAAAATCAGGGGGGTTTGTTCATTTCAGTTCTGAGGGAAATGAAAGACTAGTACAACTGACTGGAATTGGGCATAGTAAGAGCAAATTCTGAAATGCCTTTTCAGAGCAGTTTTGTTATCTTGCCATGTAGTTTCTCTGATATTCCAATAAACACTAGAGAAGACTGTTGGTAATACAGAACGTTATGATTTGAGGATGCTAAATTCTGACTCTTTGTAACTTCGCACACAAAAAACTTGATTCATATGCTCAAATAAAAGCATCGCTCCAGTAAAGTGGCATAAGGCTTTTGTACAGAATGATGAATTATGTCCAATATTTAAAACTAATCTCTCTCGTTACTTTTGTCTCTCTTCACTCTGAAGTTCTTTTTTTTTTTTTTCCCCATTTCTGTCATTTGGGGTGGAGAAAAAGACAGATACTACACTTGTGTCATGGAAAATTATTGCACGATTCAGTAACATCGTACATAAAGGAACAGTAACTGACAGATGCATAGGAATTATTGTGCCAGATCAGACTAATGGTGCACATAGTTCAGTACCTTTTGTTCCAGAAATAGACAGTTCTAGATGTCTATGCATCTGGAACTGATGGGCTTGCACCTCAGCATTTAGCGTGACTACAGCCAGCTCTGTGACAGTCCCTCTGCAGTCTGTCATTCAAAGAAAATACAGAACAGTCTTTTCAACAGAAACGCATCGTTTCACATCACTTGTAGTTCTGGGACACCGTGAGTCTGATGCACTGTGTTTGCTTCTGGCTGCTTATGTGTATCGCTGTCTTTGCACATACGTTAGGAGCTCATACATCTTACCTTCAGCTTTATATCTAAGGTCCTCAGTGGTATCACTCCTCACTTTAATTAGCTACCAGGGCATGCCAAAAGCTCTGAGCATCTAACAGGCTTCCTTCTTTGCTTCCGTGCCCTCTCTGTCATTCTTCACGTCACGCATTTTGAGCTTTCTGATACATCCCAACCTTTGTCTTGGTAGAATAATGGGCCATAGCTGCCAGTTACACTGTTCTGCTGGAGTTTTAAAATATGTTTAAATATTTAACTAAAGACACTGTTAATGCCTCTTGTTTTCAAAAAGATGTCTAACGTAAAATAAAAAATAATCAAATGGGAGATGGCAAAAACGCAGTTGTGGCCTGTTGGACTACATATAATGTCAGTGCCAGTTGCCTCGCCAGGGTCTTTTCACAAAACAGATCATAAGCACTTCTTTGTTGTTGTAAGCTCAAAGAAGAGACGGCGTTTTGGGAAGACTGTCTGCCTTTCATGCATAGCTTGAGGTAAAGAATGAGGCATTCTGCAACATGGAGTTCCAATCCTGTCTTTAAATGCATGGCAAACTGTGCTGTTGCCAACGCTGTAGGTAAAGCAAGCATGTGTGTAGGTGTGGGTGGATGAGGGGGTAAATTTAATTTCAAGGACTGATCTCTAAACAGTTCTACAAGCTAAGCAATATGAGCCTAATATTCTAATTCCAAGGGGACTCTTGACACTGCATAGTAAAATTGCTTATTAAATTACAATCAAGAAAAAAAAATCAGAAGATAGACACTATTCAGCTGGTAGCATACGGAAAAAAAGGCTGAATTCTAATTATTTGAATAGCAGTGTTAGTGTTCTTTTACTATGTGAAAATAAAATTAGCTTATCACTGATATCATTATTAATGTATGAGATGAGGCAGAAATACCATTTGTTTCCGAACACCCCTTCTGCCCCTTCCCCCCGCCCCAAAAAAGAGAGAGAATAACCTAAAAGCAAAACAGGCTTACTTAAGGGCTTTCTGATACAGGGAGCTGTGACAGATTTCATTGCTACAGTAGTATAATGTAGATGATTTATAAATTATCTTAACTTGAAGGTGGGGCCTTGTGTAAACAGTAAGTATTGCATTTATTATTTTCCCAGTTAGATCAAAATGTATAAAGACATGTCCAATATCAGTAACGTTGTTTATTCCTCTAATCAGAAACAGGAAATATATTTTCAGCTACTCTAAACCTTATGTGTTCTTTTATTATGCATGAGCAGCTATTACTACTGTTCAGTCATATACGTCTCTTAAGGTAGTCGTATTGCAATCTCCGCCTTTTGAATGGCTTTCAAATAAATAGAACAGCTTTTTTGCATAAAAAGATATTCTGCAAACATAATTAAGTATCGAAATTTACATTTCTATGAATATAACGTCTTCATACATAAGATGAATCCATTGTAAAAATTTTAGAGGTTTTGCTTCACTTTGTTATTAGAGCCAGCACAAAAGAATTTTATTTTACAACACTGAACACATCTTATGCCCTTGAATGTGAACTGCCTTGAATTTTGTTAAGAGTCTGTTCTCTATTCTCATTTTCACACTCAATGAGCCACTACTGTTTCAGTCCAAAAAGGATCAGTCAGTAAAGCTGTATCATGAAACTAGTTGTAGAGTCTAATCAGATTCTTTAAAACTCGTTTATATTTAGCCAATAGTCACAAATCTAGCTGCAAATGCTGCTTGAGATGTGACCTCTTTTTTGTGTATAATTTGGGAATACATAATCAGATTTATGAAAAGGACACACTTTAAAAAATAATTTTCCTATCATGTTATCCATATTATGTTATAGACATTAAAAGTAAAATCTATAAATATCCAAATGCCTTTTAGTTGCATGTGTAGATTTGTGTTTTAGATATTTAATTATTAACATAAGACTTTTCATTAAAATTCAAAAAATAATAAATTATTAATAAAACTCTCCAAATTAGAAATCTGGCTCATAGTAAATTTGTTGATTCATCAGTTTGTCTTGATAAACAAAGTCTTACAGTAACACAACCATCTAAACTGGTAGACTCTTTTTCCTGTCATCTCCTGAGATCTTTGATAAGGAAAGAAAATATGGAATTTTACTTTTGCATCCTCCCTTACATGCCGGTGCGCCACTCCAGAAAGTATCTCGAGTGGACATAAAGCAAAATGCAGCAAGGGGGTTTGCTTGGTAAGACGAGGTTTAGACAGCGAGCTCTTGTGTTGGAACAAGTGTATCATCTTCTATACCATTTGTCAGCCAGGACTGATACGCTGCTGATGAGGAAGGGCGTTTAGGGTTGTCAGAGCAGTGTCTCTTGTGATACGTTTTTTTTTAGGAATGTTGTTTACCTTTTAAAAAGTGCACGTGTCCAGGTCCAAAGGAGGAGTTAAATGCCTACCACGACCCTGGGACTTTGGCCAGGAAAATATTGATTGTCCCCAAAAATCTGCAGAAGCCAGAGATCTAAGGATGGAATTACATAAGTTTGGCAATAAAATGTTTAAAAATAAAGGACTAAACTTGACCCAGTAAAAAGAATAAGACCCATAACTCTGTGGTGTGAGGAGATATTTTGGACTAGACTCTGCAGTTAGACCCTACAACTGTCTGTTTCTCACAGGACACATCCTTTTGGTTGGACAGCCCAGTGCCCATTTGGGGCACTGAATATCTAAATCTTCACTGCCTCAGGAAGTTTGGACTTGCGTATCTCACTGAAACACCATTGCCACTAGACCATGAGATCAAACACCAAATGCTCTTATCCAATTTGTTTGGAAGGTTTAAATACTCCCTGGGGAAGAGAAAAGAAATTAGGCAGGCCTTTCCTTGGAGAATGTCCTATCACAAATCTCTTTGTCATCTTATTTCTCCATCACACCCGAAAACGTTTGTAATTGCTTCCTAAGTGGAAGAGCTGTACCAGGAAGGGACTAAGAGCATCACACCCTGCCGTACTGGCTAGGGCAGGCTCAGAGATGGCAGCAGGTGAGGCGTGAAGTTCTTTGCATTTCTGACATGCCAGGGGAGTGATCAGACCACTGTGTTACTGGATTAAGAAAAAGGGGTAGGGGGGTGCTTGGGCAAAAATACAAAATAAAGTATTACCTTTACCTTACTACTGCTAAAATCAGTAGATGGTTTGCCACTGACTTCAACCACAACTGAGCAAGCAAAGGCTTTAAAAAAGCAGCTGCAAACAATATAACATCATACAAAGGGCATCTTAGCCATCATACAACGTAAATGTTAACCATACATTTTTCATCAGCAGGTGAGACTCAATGATGAGAAGCTAGCTTACTGGCACATCACCACAGACACAGCACTTTGCCTTTGAACACTTTTTGGTAGAAAAAGCATCTCCTCAGTCAGTTGAAGTCAGGCCTCAACAACTTGCAGACAATTTTTTATATATTCAAAGCAAATTAACAGAGATTTACATACTTGTTTTTAACTGTGGCTTCTCTTCAATTGCCAAATGGATGTTCTAGTTCATTTCTTCTTTTGTTTCTGTCAGAAATACAATTATAACGCCAAGCAGAATCTATTACTGCTGGTTGAAAACAACTACTGCTAAGTGAGCTCGGTTCTACTGACTGCCTCCTTCTACCATCTAGTGGCACCTTAGGCATACTGCTCGCTCGCTCTACTTATTTAAAGACTTATATGGAGAATAATAAATGTGTACTTTTGAAAAGAGAAATGTATCTGGAGAAGAAATACTTTGTTGTGAAAAAGGAAAATAGTTTTCATACCTGAACTATGTATGGGAGAATAGACCAGGTTCAATGCTATAAATTACTAACATCAGAGAAAAATTCTGCGTACTGTGGTCTTGTAAAGAATAAGTCAGGTTTGTTGATTGAATTCTTACAGATTTTTTTTTTTTTTATGGTAGCACTTGGATTTTAAGTTGAAAGCTGCAGAACAAAGCTATTCAATATCCTAAGGAAACGCCTATTAGAAACACACTTGGTTTGCTATTTACCTGGATATTTAAAGGGCACAACAAAAATGTAAAGATATTATCAAAAGTAAAGAATAACAGAAAGGCTATAGTTTCCTTTCTGCTTACTTAATTTTATTAAGTCCTTTTGGTGCTCCATTTTGCAATAGATGTTTCTATTTCATTTAAGGAAAAAGAGATTAAATGTCAGTGTACTAGGAATTTCAGGCTTGGGATGTTTTCAATCAAAAGGCACGTTCTGACTAATTATATGACTGAACAAACATGAATCATCTAAAATGTTTTCTGTTCTTTGAACTGAGATTTCTTTTTTTCACAAAGTGGTGGTTTTAGTGAATTAGACTACAAATGAAACCAAGTTTTTATCACGTTCTGAAAAAGGTATATTTCTTCCTTTCCACTTGCAGCAAATTGACAAGGCAAATTGACAGAAGGCAGAATGTAGACTCTCAGCATCCAGGATATCTTTTGTTTTCTTTTCTTTGCTGTTCTGTATTGTAGTCATATTGATAAGTTGTCAACATATTTTCCAGGGTGGAAAAATCCCCATAAGGTGGACTGCTCCTGAAGCTATAGCTTACCGGAAGTTCTCTTCAGCAAGCGACGCATGGAGTTACGGGATTGTAATGTGGGAGGTGATGTCCTATGGTGAGAGACCATACTGGGAAATGTCCAACCAGGATGTAAGTACTGTCGAGAACTAATCTGCAACTTGTTGAAACATTCCTTGAAAATGATTGTCACTTCCTGCCCTGTTTTGCTTTCTTACTCACTTTCGAGGCTGGAACCTCAACTTATTTAAATCAGCATAACTCTATCAACTTAAATGGGGTAGTTAGTTTATGAAACCGGAAGACCTGGCCCTCTACAACTAAAACCTTGACTAGCTTCTTCCCACAGATTAAAGATATATTACAAAGAGTCATAGTCAGCTTGCCAGGTTCTGATGCTGCCTATATGTGGCTTTCACCCAAATCCCTGGGAATCTGCATCAGATAATGCAAGTTGTTCTCAGTCAAGCTATAAATCAAAACCTGAGGGAATACTGGAACTATTCTGACGATAAAGTTGGCCCATTATCTCCAGTACAGTCTAACAGTACCCTTCAATGGGCATACATGGTTAAATTCTAAAAGAGCTAAGCAGCCGTGAGACATGTATTTGCCAATTCTCCTTTCTAAGAATTAAATGCCTTCTGTTTTCCTTAAAAACTATGTATAGCCTTAACCACAGTGCAGGACAATTGTCCTCCCTCATAACAAAGTTACATTTTCCTCTGACTTTTTTCTGCAAAAGTTGTGACCAAATAAGCCTTCCCAATTAAAGAAACACATTTGCTTCTAGTAAAATTGAAGGCTTGTCCTAGAAAACAAAGCATGGGAAAGGGGGAATGCTTTTTTCTCCATGACAATTTAAATTTTCACTAATTCTCTTCTTTGATGGATCCCCATGACAGCTCAAACCGGTATACTCAGTATTCACACCAGCCATCAATCTCTATGTCAAAATGCAGAATATCAGCCAACCCATCTTAACCTCTCTCATATATGTGCCTAGAATACCTCTGCATTGGTTCTGAAGAGTTGACAAGACTTTTCCCAGATGGCTGTTTTTACATTGTTGCTAAGTTATTCAGCTGTTCAACTCTGGTTGCTTGTTAAGGCTGATCAGTCATTTGGGGATAAGGATCTGAGAGAGCTTTTCATTAAAAAAAACATCATTTCAGAGTGTTTCAGGAAGAAAAGAAAAAAAAACACAACCAAAACCACCCAAAAGAGAAAAGACTAGCAGAACTAATAAAGCCTTATTTCTTTTAGAGTTGTGCTCTACAGCCTCAGCAGTACTATAATCCTACTTCTCTCCAGCATTTATCTTGTGAGTTTAGCCTTTGGAATTAGACCACCTCTCCTGTACATCATTCTCCCCTGACAATGCCTACAGCCTCCATCCCCCCTCCACACATCTGCCTGCCCAGCTCTCTGCTGTGCTCCTTAATTAACACCAGGTATGGGACGATACATGCTGTGCCTGGGTTTGGGCTATGGTTCTGTTGATTGACCAGGCAGTGGTGGCTGGTTGCCCATCTGAAGAGAACAAGAAACCACTGAGCTGAGATAGACCTTTTCTCTTCAGTGGAGACATTATTTTGGTACTGTCTGAACTATAAACACATCACGGATCTACTGTGAAATAAGCAGATAAGCCCAATAGGCTCAATTCTGTTTCCCACAGCTAGCAATCTGTTGGCTTTTGAGATGCTCTAGAGTAATGAAGATCTCCACATGTGGCTGACACAGGACATGCAGGAGACCTGAGTCCTTCTGGAGCAACAACTGAAGGCAAGGCAGGATGCCCTAAGGAGTCTAAAATTAGACACCTAAGCTTAGACAACTGAATTAAGGCTATTTTTTTTCCCTGGGGTACGGTGTGAAATCACCTGTATAGATTTCTCGTATATTTAAGTTTCTATGCCCTACAACCAACTTTATACCTCTGCCCAGCTGCTGATTATTAACACTTGTTTAATTTGATTAAAGTGGGCCAATGGGTTCAAAGATGATAAAAGAGAATAAACAAGCAGCCTCCAACTAACGAGTACCCCAGCCTCAGTACCTTGCCTGAACTGAGAGGCACTTATCAGCTCCTGAGCTGCCACAGCTTACAAACACCAATTTAAGGCAAATTGCCATTGTTTTCCTTTAAAAAGCCACATTGTCAGATGTGGTGTCTTAGGAGCTGATTGCTAAGGAGTTGGAACATTGCATCAGCCTTGCAATAGCAGAGGGTGCTATTCTTGAGCTAATCTTCCGTTCAGAAGCAAAGCTGAACACAGCCATGAATATCAGCCTGTTCATCATTAGTATGCTGTTGCAAAACCTGATTACTCTGCATTGCATGGAATGCATTTGGTATCAAAATACATGTATAGCCTCAAATTTTCTGCCTCCCCAAACTAATAGATTCAATGGTTAGTTTCACTGTAAGCCTTCTTTTAACGGGAGATTGAGCAGAACAAGAAACTGGGAAAAAGGTACTAGCAAACCACAGAATCACACAACAGCTGAGGTTGAGGGACCTTTCAAGATTGTCTAGTACAGTCCCCCTGCTCAAGCAGGGTCAGCTAAAGCAGTTTGCTCAGGGCTGTCTCCAATTGGGTTTTGAGTACCTCCAAGGTCGGAGACTCTACAACCTCTCTGGGCAACCTGTGCCAGTGCTCGGTCACATGCACAACAGAAAAGTGTTTTCTTACGTTTTGATGGAATTTCATAGTTTTCAGTTTGTGCCCCAATGGGGCACAAACTTGTCCACTCAATGCTCTCTGAGTAGTAAATAAAATGTCCATGTGTGCCTTTACAGGCGAGGCTCACCAGGCAGTTACTTTTTCTCTTCCACCCCTATTAGCACTGCCTGGCTGAGGGGCTGGGCTATCATAAATGCAGCATTGGCTCACAGTCCTTTCTGCCGTTGACCCTGCCAGTTGCCACTGGAACATCCTCTGAGCGTACCGTCGGCAGTAGTCTTTTGCCTGGTTTTCCTCACTGTGTAATTGGTATTTCATTTCTCCCTTCACTCTGCAGTACCCTATTCCTGGTTGGTGTTTTTAGAGATTAAAGAAGCCCATGAAGCCAGAGATACTTCTGAACAAAGTCGGCCCTACCGTGGTCCCTGGCTTCTGTGCAGTGCCAGTGCTTCCAACTGCAATGCAACCTCTCCAACTTTGCCTCTGCCCCTCATCTTGCCATTCTGCTTATCTAGCTGCAGGTGATGGGCAGCTGGTAGCAACTGCAGCTCAGGGAGGTGGGGGGAAGAAGATGCTTTTTTGCTGTATCATCGTGTCCCACTGTCATGCAATCTGGTGCTACAACATGGGGAATTTCAGTCTCTATTCTAGTTGTGAGTGATTTCATTTGGTGTTGGGTCAACTCTCTATGAGGAACCCAACTGCCATCACCTCTTTTACTTCTCCTGTAATCACAATCCTTCTCCTCACACCAGCTCCATTACCAGCCCACTGCTTGACTCTCCCACTGCTGTTACCGCTAACTGGGAATGAGGGGAGAGAGAGACTTCCTATCAAGTCCGTTCAGCCCCACTATTGCCCTCCCAGGAAGACTGTTTGAATGACTGGTAGGACCCTCACATAGAGTCCAAGTCGCCAGCTGAGAGTAGTGCGCAATGCAGACCTTAATTCCAGCTGCCTCCCCCTTTCTTTGAGGCTGGCTTCAGCCTGTCCTCTTCACCTCTATCAGACCCTATGACGTATCTATTCAAGGCCATGCCAGCACTTCATAAAGCGATCCCTCCATTTAGAGTATATTAAATATTCTGCTACAGCATGAAGATAACATTTAATTACTCCTACATCCAAAATAGGAGTATCTGTTAATACAGAATAATGATGCGGGCCCTATGGATGCTACTTACGCTAATGATGCTGACTCCTGGGGGCTTTCCGTGCAGTTCAGGAATGCACAGCAGAAAGGACTCCCTTTCTCCAGAGCCCTACCCACAGGCTTTCAGTGCTGAAATGTTAACAGTGAGCACCTGTGACCTTCTAAATACATTTAGTGACTCTAAATGTCATTGGGAAATTTCAAGTTATTAGACATATTGTAAAGCTTACTTTGCTGGATATTGGGACATATGTTTTAGTACAATAAATTACCCTGAATTCACATGAGCTTATTTTGCAGAAATAATAGGACTTTCCCAAAGGTCAGTGATACTGTACATATGGCGGGGAAAGTAACAGAGAGGGGCATACACTAAACAGATTCATAAAAGACACATTATGCGAACAACTGTTGATAAGGCCTTACATAAGCACAGTCAGAGGTTCTGCTACAACAAAATGCCTGGCAACATTAACATTACAACACTTTTGATCATAATAAAACTCTTCTAGTTAGTAACAAAGTATTTATTGAATTGGGTGGGTTTTTGTAAAGTACCAAATGTTATCCAAGTATAAACTCCACAGAGATGGGTCTATTTTCTCACGTTCCATCTTACAAATTGCTTTTCCAATTAAACAACTTTGGGAAATTAATTCACTTTTTTAGACCATGGCTAAGTGAGTGCTGTTTTAAGTGGCTGCCATTGAAATGGTCATTTCTTACATGCATAACATAGAAGTCAATGACATGCCCGGCCCTACCCAAAGGCAGGCAGTGCTAGGGGAGGTGAGTTGGCGCTGTCTGACGTCGTGCCTGTTTGCCATGTGAACACATCGTCAGCCAGATGAACAGCAGGGCTGAGCTAAGTCTACTGAGGGTCTCTTGTCCAACCCCTCGGTCACAGAAATCAAATCACGAGGAGCCGGCACAGGTAGCACAGAGTCTGAGCTGATGCGAAGTGTTAAACTGATACCTGTCACCCAAATAAACCCAGTCTGATTTTTAGAGACTACAACTGTTTGCAAGTACAGTACACATCAGGTCAGTGCAAGCCAGAGAGACCCAACACCTCCGCAAATCTAGCATCCTCTATTTATATTCCTAAGCAGGGATTTGGAAGCTGAACTTTAGGCAACTGAGTTTGAAAATGTCTCTCATAAAATTTTTAATACTGTACATGGTATAATATAGAGGCTTATAAATTTTATTAATTTTGAGGAATGTTCTTGTTTAAGTAAATAACCATTTTATTATTGTGGTAAGTCACTTCAGACCTGTGTTGGTGCTGATTAATGCACTTCTTAGATGTGTGGCAGGCACCAGAGGTGTCCATTAATTAGGGCTGCTGCACAGTCTGTCATGTCTTATTGCTTAATTAATAAATATTAGCTAAGATATTGAACTTTCCAAGGAAACTAGTGTACTGATGAACAGATTGTGCTAAGAGCCTGGCTTGCTAATGCTCATGTGAGGAAAGGAAGATTTATATTCCATGCATTTGGTTTGTAGAACAGCTGTGAGTGAGGTCTACTGGGACACCTGTTAGAGGCCACTGTATATATTAGTTCATGTTGCAGAACTACAGTATTAAAAAAAAAAAAAAGAAGAATATTTAATGGATTGTAATCAATATGCAAGAAAACTATTGTAGCAAACAGAATAAAAGTCCTTACACTTATGAAAGTTTCTTGTAATAGCAAAAATAACTTAGCCTAATATAGTTTTTTCAACCCACAGATATCAAAACACTTGGCAGGCACCTGGGATTGGCTCCGTACCATGAGGCATGAGCAGCTGCCTCTCCCTCCTGGTAGATTTTTCAGATGTCAGCAGGACACAGAGACAACATCCCTCTGGACTGTCTTCTGTCTCAGTCTCATTAAAAAATCTGTCAGTTAACTTTGGAAAGCAAAAATCTATGTTACTGTTAATAATGAAACTATCAGAAAGATTACAGCTTAATTTTCAGATGCCATTTTTGCCAATTTCCAATTATTTTTGAAACTAAACATGCATAGATTTTATGTAGAAGTCCATAACATGTTTTTCAGATTATTTTGGTATCATAATTATTATTTAATACTAACTCTGTCTTTAACCTTTACAGCTATGTCTAACATCAAACAAAAATGATAACATGTATTTATGTGTTTAATATCATTTGTGTACCAAAATACATAAAAAGAATGGTCCCCTTTATAAACATAACAGCCTAAGCATTAAAAAGCATGGAAATAATCAGCTATGTTAACTGTAAAAAGTATTCCCTTTCCCTTATAATTTATATTCTCACCTGCCAAAAAGCGTTACTTGTAAAAATACACCCTGACCATTTTACTCACCTTAATGCTGACCCACAAGACCTTCTAATGAGTTTTAAACATACTCATTGCTGAAAAGAAACCTACAGCCTCTTTCTCAGTGTTTGACGGCAGCGCAGAAATTTTGCATGTTTTCTTCCTTTTGATACCCATCAAGTATTTGTCACAAAACCAGAACTAGAGACCAGTAGTCAGCCTTTTTGTTAGCAGACTCAGGGCTTCGTATGTATAGAAACTAAGCTAATGTTCCTGTTCTTTCAGGTTGAAATAGATGGGACATTGATTTGCCAATGTGGAAGGAGTTATGTTGATTGCTAGAGCTGTTGCTATATCCTTCTTGTAGATACAGACACTTAGACCATTTCACGATTAATGTGGTGCTTCTTCAACCTTTAAACTGGCAAGGAAAAAGGCATTTAAAAGATGTTAACGTGTATAATCTTTACATATTATACAATATATAATTTTATATTACCAAGAAAAATGTAATACTTCTTCCCTTTTAGGTATATGGCTATCTAATTCCTCTGTTCAGAGAGAGGTGCTGTGCAAGTAGCAAAGCGGGAGCTAAAATAAACAAACAAATAAATAAATAAGGAACTAAAAAGCTCATATCTTCATTTGAGACTTGAATCCCATTGCAATATTAGGCACTTATCACATTTTTACTCTTGCTTCTTAGACTCTAAAAATAATACTTCCTTCACAAGGGATACTAATGAGGCAAGATTTGTAGTTTATTTTTAAAATGTGCTGGTATTAATGAGAAATTATAATTATCCCAGTACCAGCTGTCATTTCTCTTCATGAAATGTTCTTTTTGAACAAGAAAGGAAACAAAATGCACTGTAACTTCTTTTCCAAAGATATGGTAAAATAGAGTGTGTCAGAGAAAATATAGTATCTGGAAAATCGTGGTTGCTTTTGTTTTTTTCCTGAATAGTTTATTGCAGAAAAACCTCATCAGCACTCTATTGTTGTGTCAAGCAAGTGCTATATGCCTCATAAAAGCAGAGCAGCTTTCCCTTAGCCTTAAAACCAAAATACGTTTCAGAAATTCATTTGCAGCAGGTACAGTTAAATGTAAAGACTATGATATCTGCATTTCTGGGCTGCTAGATTGCCTCTTCAGTGACAAGTATCAACTAAACTATATCTCACACTGTAACAAGTACCTATGTTTTATGAAGCCAATTTGGACAGACTGCTTGAGATACATGAGTTTTGACAGTTTTGTGAACAAAATTTCATGCACGTGGGGTTGAATTTCACCCATCCTGAGTCTGCAACAGGAGCAATCTGGGGGGCATATTCATTGTTAGGAGGCAAGGCTTTGGAGGAAATATTTCTTGGGCAATCTGATGGTATTTTATCCTATAGCAGCCATTTCAGCAGCCCGGATTTTGGACCATTGAAGTAAATCCCAGGGAGATAAACAAGTAGCCAGTAAGGCAGGTGGAAGGATAATCATATTGACATATCATTTACTGCTAGATATCACCTCTGTATGTGCGTGGCCAGTCCTGTCTGCACATATGTGATCTGTCAATACTCACAGATGCATAAAATTCAGAGATCCCTATGGCAAGTAATGCTGTCTTTGGAGTAGGCTGTACTTCCCAGTCCTGTTGCTGATGGATCTGCAACCTACCCCATGCAAATCCAATTCCCTGCTGTGTTGCAAACACTTGTTTTTCATGCATAGGTGTTTCTGCCAGGATACAAGAGGGCTATACACTGTAGGACCAAGTCACCTCATTTTATAAAACTCAGACACCCAGCTGTGTACAGCTACAAGAGTCTTGTTCCATTTTCTACCATGCCATGAAGGGGAGCTAAGGTCCTAATGTACCTTTGTAACTCTTATTTATTTGCATAATGCTTGCAGCATAAGCATTAGGCATTGCTAAACAGAGCCAACAACATTAATTCAGAATTCAAAAAGAGAACGAGGATATATTCCAGGATAATAAGATTGAATATATTGAAGCTACAGCTAGTGCTATCAAACACTGATTTGCTGTAAACAGTTTAATGTACCCCCTTCCAGCAGCATTAATACGTCTGCAGCATATACATACATCTGTGTGAAAATGAAAAATGTCTCCTTAAAGCAGAGCGGGTATAAATGCAGTAGGTATGTTTCTCATAAGTACACTGTGTTATTATAAATATTGTGTACAATCATTTGTACTTTAGAGAAAATTTAGCACTGGTTGGATTTTTATGTGGAAGGGTTATGCATGTGTGGTAGGGTTGGTCTTTTACCTAGCTTTGTTTTTGATCGACCACTTATTATCTTTCCATTCTTTTATATACAAGAAATCCTGACTATGTCATTTCTATCATCATCCCCACTGCTACCACCACTCATTGCAGAACCTAGTAACCTTTCCTCTTGGTTTTTACATCTTACATGGAATGAATCCAGCTAGCTTTTCATGGACCTTACCTACTTTTGCTACCTCCTATCACACAGGGCTGCTAATGTCCTTTTACAAAGTGTTTTTTGTTACCAGTGTTACTAAAAACAAGCCTCCCTTCTACTCTGATCGAATGTAATTTTTCATACATGTGATTTATCTATGACATCAGATCTGTTTCTTTCCAAATCCTGACCAAACACATGTATGCAGTGGCCACACAAGGTTAGTTTGTGGCCCTGTGACCCCATTCAGTACAACATCAACCTGAAGTGAATGAAAAAGATAGTGACACTGGTTAGTTTGTTCTTCTCCTCCTCCTTTCTTGGTTGTTTGAAGAGGATGGCCAGAAAGCCTAAAAAAGTGCCTACTGTGTTTCACATGCCTACAACATACTTTGCATCTCCTCTGGTCACACTCCTGCCAGTCCCAATTCCCTGCGTGAAGCCCCAGCAATGCATAAAGTGAGGGTGGCTGTGCCATTAATTGTTATCACTGGTTTCTAATTGTCAACTTTACATTGTCCTTTCAGCATTTAACTCTAATGCCCAGTAATCATATGCATTGTATTTCTTTAGGTTATACTGTCCATTGAAGAAGGCTACAGGCTTCCAGCTCCCATGGGCTGCCCAGCTTCTCTTCACCAACTAATGCTTCACTGCTGGCAAAAGGAGAGGAACCACCGTCCAAAATTTAGTGACATTGTCAGCTTCCTAGACAAACTGATCCGCAATCCAAGCACCCTTCATACCCTTGTGGAGGACGTACTTGTGTAAGACTCTTTTTGGTATTTTTTTCTTGTATAATGCACAGTGGCTATCATTGGATGTTTTAGGGCGTTAAGTAACAGTAGGGGAGAGCAGCAAAGTTCTGAATTCACAAAGTTATGGGCGTTCAAATAACTTTGAGCCCCTTTTAAGGTTTGCTTTATTGTTAATAATCTCCTTTTATGACCTGGTGACCTGCCTGGTGGATGAAGG